GGCCGTGGGATGATAAACGATTCCGCCGATAAAACCGCCTCCACCGCCAATATTGACGTTCTGCCAAGATAGGGCGGCCCTGATGGGAGCTGCCGCCGCAAGGAGCAGCTGGACCACGGGCAAGCACTTCATGATGACGGGTGGCAGGACGTTTAGAACAGTGTCTTGCAAGTGCAGATCTAGAGCCTCAACGGGACGACCCAGAACCGCGGACTGCAGGAAACTGCAGTTAATATAGACGACACAGCATACCCGCTCCAACCGGCAGAATGATGGCCTGGCGAATGTGCACACGGCGGACCAAGTTGATGCTCTGGCCCGCCTTCCCGCGTGGACCTCTAATAAACGTCATCTGGGAAGATGCTGGGCATTTGCGATGCTTCCTGGATCTGGAGCCATGTTGCCCGTGTTGGTGGAGTATCGATGCCGCTATGGTCGGAAATGAGAAGCAAAAGGTTGAATGGAGGCCCAAATATCCCACAAATCAGCCAGGCGAGGCGAACTGATGCGTGGCAGTGACTGCTAGGGAAGCAGTGCACACGGGTCTACCGGTCCCGAATTGCCGCCAATGCTACTGCTTGCGCCGGCCTGGAGAGTCTCCCTCCGCCTCCCCAGGATGCCCGCGCGGCAAATGGCTGAGCATTGGTAATCGTGCCCGTCAATGTCCGAGACTTGGTCACCAAATACCTGGAAATTGGTGTTCACGGTCCGCTTCACCTCAAGCCATCGCTCGTTGGGTTGTACATTGCCGCGTCGCAATCAACTGATATCCACAGATTCTGGCCTGTGTAAGCCGGCTCTATGGAGTACTCGTTCCTGCATGTGAAATATGTCGCTACTGTCCGGTCAGTTGACCAACCCCAACTTCCCCGCACTTGCCCCTGCAGCTACGCATGCAGGTGGTGAAGCATGACAAGCTCTCTCCCCATCTTCAACAGCGCAATCCCAAATCCCATGACACACCCTCCATCTCATGAATCCAGCCCTTGCCCAGAACTGTTTCGAGGTGCACTTGTCATTCAAAGCTTCCCACATGTACTTGTAAGCCCCTCAATTGACTAGTTGCATTATCGAAAAGCGACGGCCCGTTCTTCCCTCGTCCTCCACTTGAGCGCGCGATAGCGCAGCGTGCTGCAGCATCTCCACACCAATGTCGTCTTTGGGGACGGACACCTCGGGACTATCCATGAGACGGAAACACGCAGATATTGCACAGAAAAATGCAGATACGGCAGGCTCAGTCATTCCTGCCTCGGTCCCTGATTGGAATAACCTCAAAATCATCCATCGCAATACCTTGGCGCCTCGAAGCCACTTCTTTCTATACGAGACGGCAGAAGATGCCTTGTCCCGTGATGTCTCTCTATCCAAGAGCCAGCTTCTCTCGGGGACATGGCGGTTCCACCTCTCCTCTTCGCCCCTCGAGGGTCCCTCCGACTTTTATGCTCATGACTATGCCACGCTGGCGTCCGCGCCTGATTGGAAACCCATTGATGTTCCCGGCATGTGGCAGTGCCAGGGCTTTGGGAAAGGCCCGCAGTACACCAACATAGACTTCCCCTTTCCCGTCGACCCCCCTCGAGTCCCCATCGACAACAACGAGTGTGGCCGCTATGTGACCCAATTCTTCCTCAGTCCTGGAGATGAGGACCACCAGCTGAGACTGCGGTTTGAAGGAGTCGACTCCGCCTTTACCGTCTGGGTCAACGACCATGAGGTCGGCTACTCCCAGGGCTCAAGGAACCCCAGCGAGTTCGACATAACCAGCTACGTCAATCTCGAAACGAGGAATGTGCTCTACGTCGAGGTTTACCAGAGGTGCAATGGAAGTTACATTGAGGATCAGGACCAGTGGTGGCTCAGCGGTATCTTCCGGGATGTCTGGATTCACAAGTTCCCAAAGACGCATTTTGAGGACCTTCATATCCAGACGATACTGGATGATGACTACCAGGACGCAACCCTGGTCGTCGACCTCAAGGTCAGTGGTGTCGCAGAGGTCGTATTGAGGCTGCTGGATGCAGATGGCAACCAGGTAGGCAGAAAGGCCAAGGCAGGAGAAGGCTCAATCACCTTCGAACTACCCATCTCTACACCCCACAAATGGACCGCCGAGACGCCTTACCTTTACAGCTTAGTGCTCCAGATGTCCGACTGTGTCCTTGCCGAGAGGGTGGGCTTCCGCCGCACCGAGCTTATTGACGGCGTCTGGTCCGTTAATGGACAACCCGTCAAGCTAAGGGGGGTGAACCGCCACGAACACCACCCCGATTCCGGCCGGGCCGTTCCGTACGAGTGGCTCAAGCGCGATCTCTTACTCATGAAAACCCATAATATCAACGCTATCCGGACCTCCCACTACATCAACGATACGCGTCTCTACGAGCTCGCCGATGAGCTAGGCTTGTGGATCCTAGACGAGTGCGACCTCGAGTGCCACGGCCTTTTCGTCGTCGGCGGCGATGGCACTAAGTTCACCTCGGACAACCCGGACTGGGAGGCTTCCTATATTGACCGTGCCCGCCAGATGGTGATGCGAGACTTCAACCGGCCAAGTGTCATCATATGGTCGCTCGGCAACGAGTCGGGATACGGTCGCAATCACGACGCCATGTACCGGTTCATCAAGAGTCTTGATAGGAGTCGGCTAATACACTACGAGGGCGACTGGAATGCCGAATCAGCGGACATCATCAGCCGTATGTATCACTCGATCGGCGACACTGAGCAGTATGCCAAGGACCGCAACTGGAATAAGCCGGTCGTGTTATGTGAATATGTGCATGCGATGGGTAATGGCCCCGGGGCCATCAAGGAGTACATTGACTTGTTTTACAAGTACCCACGACTGATGGGCGGATTCGTGTGGGAGTGGGCGAACCATGTTAGTTTTTCTACCTCTACTTTGCACTTCGGATACTGACAGGTCATAGGGGCTGAGGACAAATACCAAAGATGGAGAGGAGTACATGGGTTATGGCGGTGATTTTGGTGATGATCCAAACGACTATAACTTTGTGTTAGATGGGCTCTGTTTCTCCAACCACACCCCTACACCGGGTCTCACTGAGTATAAGAAGGCGATTGAACCGGTACAAACCCTTGGGATCGAGGATGATGGCAGGGTCCGCATTATAAACAGATACGACTTTATCTCATTAGACCACCTGAAGTGTAGGTGGTGGGTTGTTGCCGACGGAGCATCAGTAACAGGAGGTTATGTTGACATCCCCAAAGGTGAGTTCTCCACCTCTAGATACTGTCCCTTGTCTTGGTGCTTACCTTGCTTGCCCTTTGGCAGGAATCAAACCACATACGGAAGCCCTCCTAGAAAGCAAAGTGCATCCCAAGTTTCATGCTGCAGATTCTCATCTAAATCTGGAATTTACGTTCGCAACATCTACCAACTGGGCTGAGGCCGGACACACTGTCGCGACCGGCCAAATCCAACTCACTCAGCCACTCGGCCTCCGATCACTCCGACTTCGCGCCCCGCCCGGAAACCATCCAACTGCAACTCTCACCAAGCCCACCCTCCTTTCCATCGCCAGCCCCAACGGTCCCCAGTGGGATTTCGACCTCGCTATCGGCGCCCTCCGCGCCTGGACCCGTCCCCACAACCCCGACACCAACATCCTCACGGAACCCTTACGCTTCGCCCTCTACCGCGCACGTACCGACAACGACCGCGGTTGCGATTTCGGTAGGAACTGGATTGACCGACGTCTTCACCAAGCCCAAAGCCACCTGATCGAAGCCTCCTGGTCGTCCAAGCCTAACGAGGGGGTCGTGGAGGTCATTGTCAAGGGCCGCATCGCGCCCCCCGTGCTCAACTGGTCGCTCGAGACGACTACGGCATACCGGTTCACCGACAGCGCGGTACATATCCACGTGCACGCGAAGCCCACGGGGAATCTCCTCCCCCGCGCCTGGGCCCGTTTTGGGCTGGTCATGGCTGTTAAGGGGTGTACTGATGTCAAGTGGTTTGGACGTGGGCCTGGGGAAAGTTACCGCGACAAGAAGATGAGCCAAGCGGTGGGGCTTTGGAAGAGGCCTGTGGATGAGTTGTTTACCGACTACGAATTCCCGCAGGACAGTGGGAGCCGGACGGATGTGCGCTGGGCCGAGTTCTTGTCGGGCGGAGAGGGGAACGGTGATGACCGGTGGGTTGTCAGGGCGAGGTGGGGGGCGTTTGAGGGTGCGAGTTTCCAAGCGCTGAAGTATTCGGATCGCGACTTGGATGAGTGCAAGCATCCGTATGAGCTGCACGAGAGGAGGAGGGAGGATACGGTGGTGCATCTCGACTGGATGCATCATGGCCTCGGCACTGGGTCGTGTGGACCCGAGACGTTGCAGGTTTATACGCTTGACGCGGGGGAGGAAATTGATGTCGAGGTTGTCTTGGATTAGGGGATGGAAGTGGCGAGTCATCGGTTACGAGTTATGCTGGGGGGGGATTTGTGCTTTGGTTGGCGTTGGGTTGAAGGGTATGGGTATTGTTTTGGAGTGGTACCGTATCATGAAAAGGGACGTAATTGGAGTCGCGTCCTTTCGAGCTTGGGGTTTTGATCATCTTGCAAATTGGCATTCAATAATGTAGATTATAATGTATGGTAGACGTCAAAGGCATCATTGGTGTCAACTACAAGTTATGAGATGGGCGATATGCAAATGCGTTTTAAATATGGTTATTTATCACTCAGTGGTCAACAGGGGCCTTAATGAGTGCTGTGGTGCCTCTGCCATTGATCATATATGCTTCTTTTGCATTTCCAGTTATTCGTGAATCCGGGTACGTGACCTTCAGGGGGTGTGCTTGGCGATGCGAGAGAGCTGCTCTCGTCATGGACAAAAAGGGGCGAAGAGCAGGAGCGACATATGGAAGATAAGGAGGATCCCGCCGGACACAAATTAAGACAAATAAACTTCCTCAAAGGATGAGGAAGGAGAGGCAAAAATAGAAACCAGCAGATGCTAACACATCTACCAACAGGTAATCATGGAGGAGCTAAGAATCGAACTCAGGACCTTTCGCAGACTAGAGAAGCTGCTAAGCGAACGCTCTACCAACTGAGCCACACCCCCTTGTTTGTTTGTTGAAGAAATGGTGTGGTAATTATGGATATGGAGCTGAAGTGGGTTTGTGTGGAGTTTAGGGCACGCTGGGTGGGAGCGATGTCGGCGGTAAAATGGTCCACTTTCTTTTGGGAGAAAAGGAGCTAGCGGATTGAGGTAAGATGGCAAGGTAAGTTAGCGGCAGCTATTAAAGATGATGTTTATTTGCTTTTGCCTGTGTTTTAAACGAGTACTGGTTTTACCCTAAAGAAGAATCTCTATCAGGAGTGTTGTGAGATAAATGCAAGGCACAACGGCCCTCCACATAAAAAGGGGTAATAAAAGGGGTAAGAATGTCAACAGCACAATATATAACACCGGGGATTCACTGCTCGTCACAGACTTCAAATGCTGGTCTGGCCATAACATAGCTTATAAGAAGTGTGTTGGAGTCCAGAAATGGAACTGCTCTCCGTCCACCCCTTGTCTAATCTATGAATCCTAACTTTACTCGCCATTTCATTTTATATAGTATTTTCTATGACCTCTACCTCAAGTCATCGCAACATAGAGGGTAAGCATCATAAAAGCTCCCCAAGAAGTCTACTAAGCTGAGGCATAGGGTTGACGCAAGGTAAGTACAGCACTGACAATATCCGACATTTTAGCGCGACACCCCTGTTTGTCCTTTGTCGTCTCCGAGTCGGCGATTTGGCAACCCTGATTACGACCCCGCGCCTTCCAATCGTTGGTGTCGAGTTGCGCCTACTCTTTCTACCATTAATGTTGAAAACATAGGCAATGCTTTTGCACCTCCTACCTAGATTGTTTAATTAGCCACGTCTCATTTTTCGGCCTTTCCAATTACTTCCGTCTGAATTCTCCTTTTGCAACCACCCGTCAAGCTTACTTCGGCGTACTAGCACAATTTCCACCCTCATCTCCCTATCCTCCATGAAGTATAGCATTTCGGTCATCTATGGTTTCTCACCATATACTACTACTGAATGGACTATCATTAGGGCAGCCAGGCAACATGGACCAATCACATCATTCTTATGTCTAACCCCACGATCACGTAGCCGCCCAGCGCTTCGCGCAACGCAATCCTTCGAGTCGTTGAGCAGGGAACTCCCCGGGCCTGGCGCACCTACCTCTCTACCTTATGGAAAAAAGCAGTTGACGCAAAGTCGCTAACGATCATGAGTTCAAGGAGGCAATCCCCTTCACCACCACCCATTCGCCGGCACCGATCCCATTCGTATGGGGAGGTTGATATTGAGAGTACCTACCCCTGGCTTACTTTCCTAAGTCTCTACCTTATGGAATAGATCAGCTGACGCAAAGTCGCTAGCGACTGAGAGTTCAAGGAGGAGGCCTTCGAGGAAGCAACCCCCTTCACCACGCCCCATTTGCCGACACCGTTCCCTTGGTAGGGGAGGTTATGACCATGACGATGAGTCCGGACGCCTTTACGAATGTGTCGTGACCAAAGATGCCGGGGTTGATATTTACACCGACCAAAGGCGGTTGAGGTCGAGGACCGCCCCGTCGCCTCCTCTGCACCTTCATGTTTCCGCTCCTCACCCCCAGCTTTCCCACCCTACTGCGGAATCGCCCGAAGACACGCCGCTTTCGTGTCCCCTCACTCCGTCAAAGACGCACCTCTCCCCGCCCGAAGACATTCGACATCATCTCCCGCCGTCTCGCGGACGTGGCTTCTCCAACGACTTGTCAGACTCGACAAGAACCTCGCCACCGCTGTCGTGCGGTCAGCGTGTGTCACACTGGGGGAGAAGGTCTACTGATACAGAGAGCTCGGGCCATCCGAGTTCCGGCTCGTGAGACTCCTCCGCACAAAGATCGCGATCAAATGCGAAACACTCCACAAATCCCTCCTGGCGCCCCCACCATACATGGCCATCTCGTACGCCTGGAGCGACGCCGGCGACACGCGTAAGATCATGCTGGAGGGGGCTAGTGTACCCATCCCCGCCAGCCTATACGGTGCCCTCAAAGCCATACGCCAGAGGCAACAGGATGTTTTGGTCTGGGCGGATTTTCTGAGCAGGTGCGCCACATGACAAATATATACGCCATTGCCGAGTGTGTCCCGGTCTGGCTCGGCGCTGAGGCTGACAATAGCTCACTAGGCATGGTCTTTCTCTGAACCCTTGCGAGCACCAGGGGCTCGCCAGAACGGGTCTGTTGCCAGACAGAAAACGCGAAATTGAGGCGGTGGCTTCGCTGTTTGAAAGGGACTACTGGAGCAGGCTCTGGGTGGTGCAGGAAGTCTTCAATGCCAAGGCTATCCAAGTGGACTGCGGTACTTCCACTAACCTCGGATACGGCGCGTTCTTAGAAGCGTCCGTCACCTTCCGGTTGAACCGGGAACTCCTGAAAACGCTCTTCCCTGCAAATTCGGCCTGAGGAAGGGGTGGAAGTCGCTGCGCAGCCAGTTCTCGGTGTTCCAGGTGTTGGTGCATCAAGGACCTGCGAGCTTTCCCAACTTCCGGTTGTTCAAGGACACGCACCCCGATGGGTCCATCCTCCTCGACGCCTTGCGCGCGTGCCGTAGAAAGCTTGCTGCCGACCCCCGAGACAAAGTCTTTGGCATTGTGCTTCCGCAGGAGATCCGCGACGGATTTCCACCCGACTACAGCCTCTCCCCTAAGGAGGTCTACACCGACATCGTCGACTATCTACTAACAACAACAGGACGCCTGGACGTTATTTGCGAAGTAATTCACTTTCCTCTCCACACCAGTGCTATCACCAGAAGCCTACCATCCTTCGTCCCAGACTGGTCCCATATCCCTGAAACGTCTTCACAGGCGCAGAAGCAGCTCTTCTCGGCTTCTGGTGACACGAAGGTCGTTTTCAGGTTTCTCGGCGACAGGCACAACAAGTTGGAAATCTCGGCCGTCTATCTCGACACCATCATCAGCTATGGTGTCGCTGTCGGCACGCTCTGCACGCTGAACGACTATCTGATGGCCTTCATCCAGTGGCGAGCCTTGCTTCTAGGAACCATCGACGCCGACGACGAGGATTATAACCTTAGAATACAGGACGATTTCTATCGGACAATGTGTCTTGACCAAGTTCCCCGGGAGTGGGATGTTAAGCCACGCCAGTGGCGGGGCGTAGTGTACCATTTATTCGCGTCGTTTTTCCGTGAGCGGCTGCCGCGGATGCCGCTCGATCGAGAGCTGCGGTCGTATCTGGACGACGTCAAGGTGAAAATCGACCCGGGCTTCCGTCGCAGCTTCATCCAGGATCACTTTGGCCAGCCGATGACGGGGCAGTGCTTCTGCCTGACCAGGGGCGGCCTGATGGGAATGGGCTCGGGCTTCATGGCGCTGGGAGACATCGTTGTGGTCCCGCTGGGCTGCGGTTCCCCTGTCCTGCTCCGCCCCGAGGGGAAGCACGGCGAGTATCACTTTATTGGCGACATTTACATTCATGGTTACATGCGTGGGCGGGCTATGGAGCAGTTGGAGCGCGGGAACAAGGTGGAGAAATATGTCCTTCACTGAGGAGCTGGTTCTCTTTTCCGTTGACGCGCGGGATCGATTTGAGATTAACACCATAGCAAGCGACTGCGGGAGGCATATAACGGGCTATAACGGCCAGGAGGGATTGCCTTGATCATATTTCAACGATCTGAAGGGCGGTATAGGGAGTGAAGTTGAGAGACTGAAAGCGCTAGGGTGACAGCGGGCATCCGTTTTTGGGTTATGTCAGCGGGAAGAGGAAAAGAGGTATGCTCTTCCGCTCCCATGTACAATATAGCCCTCACTGACTTGTCTATGGGAAAGCAGACGAGATCCTGGCTTTTCCAGTAGGTAAGCACTGTAAGATATGGTCGTATATAGAAGTCTATGCGGTTGAACATGTTTGATGCCCTCCTGAACGCTGACCGATGGGCGGGATTCAGCACAAGCCCACGGAAAAAAAAACTGCACATAACGCAGGAAACATTGCGGGTATGAGGCAACTTATTTATTCAACTGAGTTGTATTCGTGACGTCACGTAACAACGGCTGACAGTTACGACCTCGGCGCAACACCATGACACACAAATCTTACAGGGCGTCTCTAGCGCGCTCCTAGCTTGTGGATCCACCTAACCAGCCGTGACCGTACCCCCTTTCTGTCGTCTTCCTTTTCGCCACCAATGCCGGTTTGTTTCGGTGCACGCCCAATCTTATTCTCCAAACCCCTATCAGCACCCTGCGGTTCCGCTCTGATCGTCAAATCGCTATCAACTTCTGCCACGGCACCTGGCGAAAGCGACGGCCGGCACGCCAGGTGGTGTGATTTCCTCCCATTGATACTCCCGCCCCTGCTCAAACTTCCGGATTCATGCTCACTCGCCTCCGATGAAGACTGCATCTGGATATGGCGCTGCATGAATGCAGCCCCGGTGCTCGTCGCACGGCGGGGCACAGACTTCCCGTTCGTTACAGACACTGGAGTAGTGGAGCGTGATGGCGGTGCCGATGCAAGCGCCGAGGCCGGCTGAACTGCCGCTGCTGTTGCCTTATCCGTACAGGGCAGGGGCATTGAGTAACGTTTGGGCACGTAAAGGGACGCGGTATCGCCAGCCTCGGAGGGTTGCGGTGTTGTCCTCCCTGGGGCTTCGGAGGTGGCCCGGCTCCAGGTGTTGCGGCGGCTTGGCCGAGTAGTGCATGTGGGGGATGCCAGGCCCTCGCCGTTGCTGGGCGTGTGGTTTGGAGACCAGCCCGAGCGGAGGGCTATCCACAGGGCAGTGACAGAGATAAGCATCTTGGTTGCGTCGTCGATGGGGTGGGCCGTCCGCTTAGGTTCGGGGTCTAGTATGAGAGCGGTCATCCCAGAATCGGACTCGCCGTCGGTCGTTGAGCCGGCAAATGACCGCTTAGAGGGCGAGTTCGGGGCCGTACTAATCCATGAAATTGGCGATGACGTAGAGTTCATCGAGAGGGTCCGGCCTGCGGTCGCATTGGGAGGATATCGACCGTACGATGAGGATACGGACGTATATG